GCACATGCGTACATAGGCACATGTTGATAGGCACGTGTGATGTTACTTTTAAATGTTAAGTTAAATGTTGTATGTAAATAATGTTGTAATTTTGATGTAGTGTATTTGTACTGCATTTTAACTCCAGGAAGATTAGCTACATACTTGATTTTGTACCAATGTCTTGTGTGTCGCTAATGGAGTTTAATAAAGCACATAAAGCACATATAATATATGTTTTTAAACCAGCTGTAATTTTGTCCCCTCCACTTCCTGAATGACGTCTTATTTGCAATGGAGTAGGGTCGACTTACTTTAATTTGTAAAAGAGATGACCATACCAAAATTGACTTCTTGTATCGTCCTAATGTTACAGAATGCAGCTTTAACTGACAAAAAGACGAACTACAAACCTCTTAAAGAATGCCGACTGAATACTACACGTCTAATATTCTACAAGCAGCCGCCATCTTGAGTTCAAATTAAGGACAGGTCCTTCGGGTAGTGGTCAGCTCGCACACTGCAATCTGGGACACAATAATTATCACGTGTCCCAACAAAGCGAGCAAATTATCCCTTCCATTGTGTCGTGAGCTATTTTTGAATCCTGTCCCAAATGCTTAATTGTGCGGTATTATACGGTAGACTGAAGACACGACTACTCTCAGGAGGTCAAGGCTTGTACGTACGCCGAGTGTCCATTGCCTCTACCAGTTCATCTTTGGTGTCCTTCATGTTTACATTTGTCACAGCGTAGCGGCGTAGCGGCAGAGTGTTCGACTCGGAACCTAGAGGTCCCGGGTTCGAGTCCTGACATGCCACCGATCTTGTGCCCTTGGGAAAGGCACTTTACACGACTTTCCTCACTTCGCTCAGGTGTAAATGAGTATTGTATTGTCCCCTGTGTTGGTGGCGGCATTAATATAAGTATGAAAACGTTGAGTGTGCCGTCACCACGTCTTGTGATTACATGTTGGAATAAAAATGATAATTGTCACACATTCAGAACCATCCCCCGACCACCAACCAACCAAACAACCAAGGCTGGCGGTAGATAGGGCCAGGCCACAATTAAATTCGATATGATGTAAATTTGAGTAAAATTTGAGTCAAATTTGACTGCCAACCAGGCCCCGACCACGGCTAGTCTACTCCCAACCAGTCCCCAACGATTGCCGGACCTCCCGTCCACTCCCGAATGTTTTGCACCCTTTTGGAACACTCAAGGAGCCAACCTCGCCGAACACCAGCCAACCACAGCCCAACTTGCTCCCGACCTACTCCCAACTATGCTTGGGGAGCGTTCCACAATGTTCCACAATATGCTAAATTTGACAGGATCGAAAGGTTACATCAAAGTAACTTTAGCACACTTTCAAACAGTTTTAGACTACTTGAGTCAACACTACAGTTTCAAGAGTTGTAGAAAAAAAATGATTGTCAAGTGTTTAAACGGTTACATAATTTATAAAGAAAGGTAGTTTTATTAGGCCAAATTCGCATGCCATATTTTAGTATAGTTTAGCGTAATGTAGAACGTACGTGTAGAGTTGAAATATTTTCTAGCCAGTAGTTCTTTATAACACTCTGTCAGACACGGTAACCGTTGACCATATATGTAGCATTAAGATAATCTCATACCAACTAGTAACTTTATTATTTGCCATACATTGTACCCGTGACAATCGTTGTGCAATAAACTTTGACTTATTTCATTTGGCGTCTGATTTGTGATCCCAGAACGGTACATTGTTTTTGTCTGAAGATTTACTAGCAGGTGTTATAAACTGTGTTTCTAAGGGAAAGATCAGTAAGAATCGGTTCACGGGGCGGGTTCGAAAATTTAAAGGCACCCAGTGCAATTTTAGGCGGGCAAAACTGGATTTTTAAAGTCGATTTTCCGGTCATTTATGTAGTAAGTTGAATAAACTCTATCCTAAAGCATACTGATACCAGTGAGATAAAAATGATGGAAAACGGTTACTTGTTACGGATCTAGCCATTTACGGGTGGTACCCCAAAATAATGGGACCCCTGGCGTAGCTTGTTTTGGGACTATTTCAAATGCTCCTAGTATGAAATGATGACGAAAATTTACCAAAAAAAATGGCAGTAAATGCCAATACGAGACAGATTTCTTAATCCAGAATATTTTGTTTTTTTTTCTGCCCTGAAATTTCATTGGATGCCTTTAAAAGAAACTAAAATGCAGAAGACGGAAACTACACCGTGATTTGCACAAGGCATTGCCACTGAAAAATAGTACAATTTAAATAAAACTTGCGAGCGCGCCACCATCTCTTAACACTGCCCCACCATCTTTCCTGATTCGCCCCTACAGTGTTAGATGTTTGTCAACTCAAGAACGTGTGTCCACAGCGACCTATTTCGATGTCGTTACCCCCTGTCCGAAATATATCTCGGACAGTGGACGGAAAGGTCACCATTGCCCCCGAGCATGTGGCCTACGTGACACCATAACAGAGAAACACTTGTTTCCTGGTCGGAACGGATTAGTTATACCCCCATTCCACTTATGCCCTGTAGGTCACATTTCCAAACCGGAGCCCAGCCGGGCTGTTTGTATGAACGAAACACTAACAATTCATATCAAGAATATACAGGAATAGTGCCCATAATTATTATCGAAAACGCTCTGTGTTTTATTGTCTTTTATATCGTACTTTTCGTCCCATAAGACTGTCCGGCCGGGCCCCAGTTTGGAAATATGACCTCAGCATAAGACGGAGCTCTCATGGCGCTCTCTCTGTGACCTAAAATTGGCCAGAGAGCGCCGAAAGATCGCCGAGGTCGCCAAGTTTGGAAAATAAATTACTGTTTAGATCGTTGTGCGCTCTCACGGCGCTCATTTCTGGATCGGCGCTCTCATTGCGACGGTATGAGACGGTTTAAAACAGTCGCCGAGGTGACGGCGCTCATGGCGCTCTCATCGCGCTCTCATCGTGCCCTTATGGCGCTCTCATGGCGCTCTCATCCCTTTCAGAATCTTGTTCACCTTTCGTAAATATGATAGAGCTAGTCACATGTTTGTTTCAGCTTCAGTCGACACTTTTGAAGCCCGCAGGAGAAAGTTAACACATTCTTTTGTCACACGCCTGCTCAACTCAAACAACGGTCTCATTAAACTGGTAGTTCACTCTGACATATTCTCCATCAACATCTTCTTGAAAAACTACACCAATCTGCTATTCAAACAGTCCGCCCATTAAATTCCCATAACATTGCATTTTGATCTTCTATATATCATTGTGTTTCAATCTTCTGTATATATACTTGTATTATACTTGTCTTTGTGTATTTTTTAACTGTACATGTTTTGATATGGGCCGTGTGCCTGCAATAAAGAATGAATTGAATTGAATAATTGTTCCCGTGGCGACCTCGGCGATTTCTCGGCGCTCCGGCCAATTTCAGGTCGCAGAGGGAGCTCGGTGAGAGCGCCGTCCTAGTGGAATGGGGGCCTTAGCCACAACATTACCTCCATCTTGAAAAGCATATAGAACCGATAGGTCTATCACGTACGCCCACTAACCTCGGGTTAAAACGTAGACTTGCAAAACAAATATGTAGACGTTCAAACGTGCAGCAATTCGTATTATTACCTGAACCCCCACTGCTGTTCTTTGATCGCAAGATCGAAAACTAGTCTGAACACTTTCCGTACTGGGTAACTTGCACGTAGGCAGTTCTAAATAAAGACTTGGTATTCATAGACGTTAGCACTTCCCGACCAGACTTAATTTCGAGTCAAAGCATGTGGTTAAAAATTTCATTCTTGTCTGTAATACGTGACAGACTTCAGAGTGGTGTTGGTGAGAGCTACCTTTACCTTTATCTAGTTCCATCCTCATGTGAGAGTTAACTTGTTGATTTTATACAGAAAGTAATACAGCCATGTATTTGTGTTGCACGGTTTATATTTTCGGTTATTCGTGATCCAGTCAACTAGTAGTCATTCTGCCTTGCAAAGTTGCCGCTCAGATTTTCTGGCAACAGCACACACACACATTCGCAAGTATTTTGTTGCGAAATATATGATAGAAAACTCAGGCACAAAGAGTTACTACTAAAGATACAGTATATTTCAAAACATAGATAAATAAACTTCAGTAAACCCGAAGCCTTTTTACAGACATAACTTTTTATCTCATTTATTTAGTACGTGAATTTATTTTCACTGGAATGGAGTTTGTATGGAATTCTTATATGGAAAAAATGAGATAAGGACATGTTATCTCTTTTTTTTCATATAGAGCTTGAATGAATTCTTATATGGAAAAAATGAGATAAGGACATGTTATCTCTTTTTTTTCATATAGAGCTTGAATGAATTCTTATATGGAAAAATTGGATAAGGACGTTTTATCTCATTTTTTTCCATATAATGTTTCTGTGGTAAACAAAATTGACACAACCTTTCAAAAACTACTTATCACAACTTTTTAGGTTATCACGTTTTTCCCTTAGAATAAAAAAAATACTAAACAAATATGATAAATAATCTTTTTACAGTCCGATTCACAATGAAGGGAATTATTATAGTATTGGTCAAAGGTCTAAACGTAGCTCGTTTGTTGCAGCAATGTGGTTTTTTCAACCCACATCAGACCACAGCCACCTCCGAAAAGGTTTTAGCCGAAAGTCGTCATTTTAACAAAGCTGGAACTGGAGAACTTTTTGACGATTGTCCCTACCATTTAAAGATGATCTAGAAAATCTATGGATATTACTGAACAACATATTGTGGATTAATAATGTCTAAACGATGTCTTGACGATTGTCCCTACCATTTAAAGATGATCTAGAAAATCTATGGATATTACTGAACAACATATTGTGGATTAATAATGTCTAAAAAGTTTAAAACCATATAAAAGACAGTACAATAGGTTTCTGTCTTGGTGGCTGTTGCCTTGTATCCACGCCTTCTAAACATTTTCCATCATTTAGCAATACTTGAATCGCACGGAGACACACCATCAGAACTAAGAATGCTTCAAAAAGTATCGTTTTTGTTCATACGAGAGTCCGTTGAAGTGTCCGACGGAAAATTATGTATTATTTCGTACAAAACCTGAAGTAAAGTTCGTATGTCCAGTGTTAATTAGTCACCTGTTGTCCGAGGTTTTCCTGTAGCCACGTTCTCGCCTCTTGTAAGCTGTACTTGAAAGGACCCTTGCCGCCTTCGTAGACTACTTGCCCGTGACGTATGATGTAGACTCTATCCGGGAAGGCGCCGTACTGGTAGTTCGCACTGTTAGTCATAGTGTCCACGGCTACGTTGTAGTGTACTGTTCTGTTAGCAAGCATAGCCCGTGCCGCGGTACACCGCTGGGTGATAGACCGGTGACTGGAGATGTCTGGACCGGCTCGGAAGGACCACCCGTCCGTCGGATGAGCCTCCTCGATGTAGACCAACAGAAAATCGACGCCACCGCCAAACTCGGCCACGATCTCGTCAAAGACGGCCAAGTCGGGCACGAACGGGGGTCAGGTGTAGCTGCCGAAGTTGACGAAAAGTGGCCGGTCGGCCACCGCGAAGCTCAGCAGGTTCTTCTCGGTGACGCTATCGAGGAGGACCAGAGTGGGGTCCGGGGCGGGCTCGCCCTGGCGTGCCCGCTTCATGATGCCGACCATCTGGGAGTACACCATCCCCTTCAGAGAATTCCAGGTTAGAAACTCGTCCAGGTCGTACTTTGGGTTCGTGGCTTCCTCGCTTTCTTCTTCTTTGCGATCCAGGAGTTTGGACAGAAGGTCTTGTTTCTTGGTCGGTGCCACACAAGTTAAAATCATACTCACTGTCTTTAGCAGAATGAAGCCAAACCCCAGTACAACGAACACGACTGGGGCTGCTAGAACCTTCAGAGGCCTGGCGGCATCACACAACATGTTGGCCGTTTGTCGTACGACCATGAGAGGACTAAGAATGCCGACTGCAGCACATGTGTGACTGCGACTGTGTGTCTCGTCAGTTGTGGGGCGTTCGGCATGTATGCGTCACATTATATAGCTCCAGGAAAAAAAGACAATGTGAAGGGGCGGGCCCTCAAATAGTTCGATTGGGCGTCTGGAACAAAGGAGAAACTACTGCATATTAAGGGGGTGGAAGGTTGTATTGAAAAGGCGTATACGGTAAGGTAAGGCCACACTGATTTAATTTTATGGATGACATCCGCGGGCGCATTGATTTTCGCCTGTTTTAAAAGCAATCCGAGAGGCTAAAGCCTAGGCACTATCCTCCGTAGTCCATGGTAGCAGGAGACAATAGGGAGCCGGTGGTAACTACGGAGGATGGTATCCAGACTGCCGAAGCTCCACGGAACTCAAGAACTCAGTACAGTACTGTCTCATAAATGCTGCAAAAACCAGCATGTGCCGGCTTGTTGTAAAAGTACTATATGTACAACCACAAATTCGCAATACCGACTCTGTATTCTTGTGGTTTAACGGCAATTTTTGGTCAGACGTTTTTATTCACCCGCTCGTATTAGTATTGTGGTCTTCAGCGGATGTCGTCAATAACATTAAGTCAGTATAGCCTAAGGTGATAGTGGGGGCGATCTGGGACTAATACCTACATTTCCAATACTTTGACTACCATTACACTATGGGTGCCTGTAGCTTAAATTGATATTACGAGACAGTAAACGTCATTGCCCAACAGTTGCACAAGGAGTGGGGTCGTGTGGCGTAGCGGTAGCGTGGTCGACTCGGAACCAAGAGGTCCCGGGTTCGAGTCCTGACACGCCACCAATCTTGTGCCCTTAGAAAAGGCACTTAACACGACTTTCCTCACTTAACTCAAGTAAAAATGACTATCGTCTTGTCCTGTATACGTCCTGTATACGTCCTCTGCGTTGGTGGCCTCATAAAATAATATAATTTGAGTGTGCTGACAGACTGCCATCATGTCTAGTCATGAAATGTTGGATTATAGATAAAAAATATGTACAAGGTACATAACTGCAAGGATAATCTACCTAATACAAGAGTGACCATGAGAGGACTAAGAATGCTTGTTGTTTAACCGGTTTTTCTAGTTACTTGTATATAAGAGTGAATCGGTTCTCTGTTCATTGTGAAGCTGATGAAGAGTGATGGATGTCACTCGAAACGTCCGGAAATAAATAAAAATCCGTAACTGATCCAGTAGTAGAGTTTGAATTTTCTTACGAGACAAGAGTGAGATGGTATGAGAATTCAATATGGGGTGAAAATGGGCTGTTACAATCATTGGGGGAATTTCTTATGTCTAGACATTCTGTAATATGTTACGTACTAAAATTCAGCATGTGGCCTGTGATTATTTATTGATAGGAAAAGGATATTAGCTTCTCGTGAAAGCTAGACACCAGAGTACGCCGTATGTCTTATTTATAGTAAATTAGTAGTATAGAACATCAAAGAACAAAATTGATAGTTTATTCCTAACCTCTTTGAATAGAATACCTCGGCGTTTGTCTCCATTGTACTTACATGGAGGTAAGTTACTGTTATAAATTGTCTACTGTGCACGTACAAGCTTCGCTATAAGTAATACCATGCTACATGCATCAAACATGCCTCAGTATAGGATACATGGTGCCTACACCCACTTAAAGAGGCTTGCCGAAATTGCAAGGACGGGGTCACTCCATTCTCTCTATCTCCCTCCCTTCCCCCCTCTCTCTCCCTCTCTCTCTTCAACCCTCCCTCCCTCTCTCTCCCTCTTTTTCTCCCTCCCTC